CATGATCAGGATATTGATTTGTATAACATGGAGATTTAGAGCTCAAGAATAACATATTGAAATGCTTCACTCTAGCATTAAAGATGCATTGTTATTTTGAAGACTTTGGTCAACTTGTGGAAAATAATATACCCTTGCGGTTGCAATAGATTTCATTGAAAGTATTTCTGCTGTTGTGATCACTCTCTCGGAGGATCAGCAGATTAAGAAGAAATGCTGAAAAATATAAACATGTATCCCTTTACAGTCCAACTCAGCTTCTGAGTACTGCATGTGTTCCAAGTATTTAGAGTCTGGAGTTTGTCAAGATACAGTATTGTGCAAGTTGTATAAGTGGTGCTCTTTTCTACATTTTTTAGTGTCTTTTTCTTTGCAACAATCAGTCTGTGTAAAATGTACAGTAACAAGACAGAATTTATTGCCTTCTTCTTACCATACAGATAAAATATCTTAAAGGTAATAAGCATAAAGTATTGACAATTGGTGATAGCCATGTGAGAGGTTGTGCAGCGAAGATGATAACTTCTGTGGATGCTCGTTTTGAAGTGTGTGGTGTGATAAATCCAGGATCTTGCATAGAATCATTAAGTGAAATAATGAAGGAAGAAGTGGGCAACCTAACAGCAAATGACTTCTTAATAATTAGTAGTGGATCTAATGACTTAAAGAGTAGCATTCAGGAACACTGTAAATTACATTGAGAATGAAAAGCACACCAATGTAATATTAATAAGTGCTCCTCTTAGATATGACACTACAGATCTTTCTCACTTAAACAATTCAATTCAACTTTTTAACAGCAAACTGAGTAAACTAGCAAATTTTTTAGTCATATGATTACAAAAGAATTGATAAATAATAGACTATTATATTCAAGGCAGGGCTCTCACTTAAATGGGGTAGGCAAGGAAATACAAATGGATGTTCTCCTAAAAACCACACTTTTACCGGCCCAACTGCCAACTCGACAAATTTCTAAATGCAATAGAAAAATACCAACATCTAGAAATGATGACTTTTTATGCAACACTTAAATGTGTACACATTAAATCATAGTGAACCTAGTTTTAAGGAGAATAGGAAACATATAAAGCAACCACTGCCCCTAAAACCAGGTAATGAAGATCTAGTTATCTACCATCAAACATTAGAGGACTTAATATTAGTAAGCTTGACGAAATATCTATCTCTTCTTTTCTGGATTCCTCTCATATTGTTTGCTTAACCAAGCACCATCTTCGTGATACTGCTACTGACACTACTTTGATGATGGGTTTCAAACTTGGGGCTAGTTTTCGTAGGAGCACCTTTAAGAATGGGAGTGCATGTATTTTTGTACGTGAAACTATCTATTCTACTAATATAAATATGGAAAAATACTGTAAAGAAAAGGACTCAGAAGTATGTGCAGTTAGATTGCACCTCCCTGCTCATGAAACATGTTATTGCCATCTATAGAGCTCCTTCTGCTAACTTTCAGCATTTTTTCAAAACCTTGACAGACTTTTGAATATGATTTTTGCCCACACTGAAGATATAATATGTGGTGCTATAAACATAAACTATCTTAATAATTCTCCACACAAATAGCAGTTAGACTCATTACTAGCCTCTCATGGACTCTATAGTATAATCCAATTCCCTACTAGATTCCAAAAAAAATCTTATTCTACAATTGATAATATTTTTATTAATACACATAAGTTTACAAATTTTACTGTATATCGCATCATAAATGGTCTTTCTGATCATGAGGCCCAGAACCTAATAATACATAATATATTTAAACAAAAACATAAAAAAAGTTACTACTATATATGGGAAATAAATGAGGTTTCAATTGCTAATTTTAATAAGAAATTAAGTTATGAGTCATGGGAAGATGTAATTAATGAAAATGATATCTCTCCCAGTTGCTTCTCAAGCATGTTGCTGATATGACCATCTTCAGGTGGAGGTGGCCAGATTTCATCTGCTGGTGGTACAATGTAGTTTATACCTGCATACAGCAGTGATGACGTGATATCCTTTGGTTTCTCTTCTGTACGAGAACGCTTGGTTGGTGGCTCATAATCACAGTCACCCACCAGGGGACTGTTGAACTGCAGAAGTTCAGCCATATCAGATATGAACATGGCTGCATCATCTTGATCGGAACTGCTGAAAGTCCCATCTTCTGAGACCCTAGACTCAGGGAATTCTAGCAAGTTTCTTGAATGGCCTATGAACAAAAAAATGACATGTTTTAAAGTCACCCTGATGAACAATATTAAATACCAACTGATAAAGCTGTGATTAATCTTTAAGTATCACCTTCAGAGAACGGGGATTTTAACACACTGAGGACCAGTCGCATGATATCATGCTTTTGGCTTTTAAACGTGGCGGACCGGTCACATTATATCACGATTTTAGAACACATTAGTTTGTAACACACTATACCTTGCTCCGGCGCCACCCAAGTTGCATGCATTGGCATAATAAAACTCTGGAATGTTTGCTTATTTGTCAGTAACTTGATCTCACTGTTTTCTTAAGCCACTATAAAAAATATGCTTTGCTGCTCTTCGAGCTATATGTACCAGCCAGTAGTTAGTGGTGGGGTATGGACAAGGGCAAATTTTTCTCCGATGAGCCAGCTGACCTGCCTTGTGAGACGACTAGTTATGGTGATTTAGAGAGCGGCAGTGACAGGGCAGAACAAGGAATTGTGGCCACAGATAGTAAAAAGTGACAGTAGCACCGACGATAATGGGAGTAATAACATTGCGGGGAAGTAAAAACTCACAAAAATCTAAACCCCGATTCAAAATTGAAATACAAAGCACTTCGGGTGAATGTGGCAAAGGCCTGGTGCTACAAACCAGATGGTGGAGGCAGAACCAGAGTCAGACACAGACTTAGTGCGACCAGGCCCATCAACTCCCACCCCACGCAGGCCTCATGTGGATCCCCCAGAGCGACTCTCGGGTGATATGCGGAAACATACACTCATGAAAATTGTGAAGAGTGAACATTCCAAGGTGAAGCATCCTTCTAGGCGAAGCCGTGTTTCCACAGTTCACAAAAAAAAGGAGTATGTCTACATTTGCAAGTTCTGTGTAATGCTACTTCACAAGGGGGAATGTTTCCAGAAATATCACACCCTCAAGCACTTCTAGGAGCATTGGTAAGCGTTCTCCAAAAATTTTAGTTCAAAAAATTAATTACGAGATTTTATATTAATTTTTGAAGTGATCAGTGCAAGTGTTAGGAAAGTAGGTTTAATAATGGCAGTCACCAGGGTGATTTAAATATTTAAATCACCGGCCCTTAATGTGTTAACTCATTAATACTGAAGAAATAAAACACATGGTCAACTAGACTTTGCACATGTCATCACAATAATGCAATGTATGGCCAGCATAATCATATTTCTCAGGATTACTATTACTAGGTTTTTGGACTTCGTCCATTGTATGGTATTCTAAAAAACACAAAAGAACACAGCACAGTGTTTCCATCCTCAGACTCCAAAACAGTGTGTTCTTTTGTGTTTTTTAGAATACCAGATGATGGACAAAGCCCAAAAACCCACTGATCCTGAGCGTTGTACACCATCAACAGAATCCCTTAGTATATACCTGTAATCACAATTTTTATCATTTTCATAAGCTTTACTTTGCTACAACTTGTGTTTATCATCACTTTGGTGATCACTCAGATTCCAAAACAGTTTGTTCTTTTGTGTTTTCTGTAGAATACCAGATGGACAAAGCACAAAAACCCACTGATCCTAAGTGTTATACACGATCATCAGAATCCCTTAGTATTTACATGTAATCATATTTTTTATCATTTTCATAAGCTTTACTTTACTACAACTTGTGTTTATCATCACTTTGGTCAGCACCATAAGAACTGCACTTACTTTTTACTAAAGGAGCTGAGCCCTCCTGGAGGAGCTGCCAATTCACCAGCTACTCAAGAATTTCCCAGCATTTTATGGAACCTGAAAGTTCATTACCGTGTTCACAGGATCCCTCCACCGGTCCCTATCCTGAGTCAGATCTATCCAATCCATACCATCCCATCCTATCTCTCTAAGATCCATTCTAATATTGTCCACCCACGTACGCTTTGGTCTTCCCTATGGTCTCTCTCCTTCTGGCTTCCCCACCAATATCCTACACACATTCATCTCCACCATTTGTGCTACAGGACCTGCCCACCTCATACTATGTGAATTGATCATTCTAATTATACTTGGAGAAAAGTACAAGTTCTGAAGCTCCTCATTATGCAGTTTTCTCCAACCTCCTGTCACTTCATCTCTCTTTGGTCCAAATATTCTCCCAAAAACACCCTCTTCTCAAACACCCTCAGTCTATGTTCCTCCCTTAATGCAAGAGACCAAGTTTCACACCCATAAAGAACCACAGGCAAAAATATAATTTTGTATATTCTGATTTTTATGTATTTAGACATCAGACGAGAAGACAAAAGATTCTGGACTGAATGGTAGCAAGCATTACCCGAGTTCAATCTCCTCTTAATTTCCTCCTGAATCAGGTTTCGACCTGTTATCACTGTTCCCAAATATCTGAATTGTGCCACATTTTCAGAACATCTGTTTCCTATCTATATCATGATTTTGCCCTGCATTTTGGTGACGATACAGCAGCATATACTTAGTTTCCTCTGTGTTTACTTCTAGACCAACCTCTTTACTTGCGTCAGTTAAAGTTAGTTCCCCCCCCTCCCCCTTTATGGTGTCTACATTATCACCCAGTAGATTCACATCATCAGCATAGGCCAACAGCTGATGTGTCCCGTTTAACTTCTGTCCCACCTGGTTTCCCTGGACCTTCCTAATGGCATATTCTAAAGCAAAGTTGAAAAGAAGTGGCGATAAAGCATCTCCTTGTCTTAAACCATTCTAGATAGAAAATCTATCAGACAAATGTTTAGCTATACGGACTTTACTAAACGTTTCGTTTAAACACATTTTAATCAACCTAACTACTTTCACGGGTATCCCGAACTCTATCAGAATATTGTACAATACTTCCCTCCTGACTGAATCATAGGCTTTCTTGAAGTCTATGAATAGCTTATGTACTGTCTCATCGTACTCCCGACGAATGCAAAAGATCTGATCTGTAGTTGATCTGTTACGTCGAAACCCACACTGATGATCCCCAATAATTTCATCTATATATGGACTTAACCTTGAAAGAAGAATATTGGACAAAATTTTATATGCAGTTGATAGCAGTGATATCGCCGATAATTACTAGTCAGTTTTATAACCCTTCTTGTGCATTGGTACAATAATAGACTCCTTCCAAAGATCAGGCAATTTCTCCTCATGCCAAATAGAAGTAATCAGATTGTGGATCTTAGAACGTAATATTTCGCCTCCTGCTTCAATAAGTTCTGCCAGAATTTGATCACTACCTGGCAATTTATACCGTTTCATATTGCAATAGCAGTTTCAACCTCAAAAGGGCTAGGATCAGGTATTAACGGCTCAGCTGTATGAATTTCTGTCTGCCTAACAGCACTGACCCTATGTACATTCAATAACAGAGAGAAGTAGTTCCTCCACCTATTCAAAATGTTGTGGGAAGCAGATCACCATTCTCATCCTTCACTAAGTTACTGCTAGGCTGGTAACCTCTTCTTAAAGTCATCTATTCCTCTATATAGGTCTCTAATGTTCTTGTTCTTACTGTTCATTGCAAGCTAATCAATTTTGTCTTTCAGATATTCCCTCTTTTTGTTCCTGAAATGCCTGCTGGTTTCATGTCTTATATTGTTCAGATTATCCCCATTTAACTTGCTTGGATCCTGTAACCATTGCAATTTGGCTTGCTTTCTTTGATCTAATAATTTTGAGCATCCTTTATCGAACTATGGCTTATGCTTCTTTGGTTCATAATAACCTAGACTCTCTTTGGCAGACATTTTTATATTCTCTCTAATAGTTTCCCAAGCTTTATTAACATTCACCTTAGTTTCCAAGTTTTCCAAAGCTGTGAACCTATTTGAGATTTCAACACAATTCTGCTCTTTACCCTCTACTTCATTTAATTTCTTGAGATTGAACCTCTCCATATGAACTCTGTGTCATTTGTTTGCTCACTGCCAGTCATTCCCTTACTTTTGCAACAACCAGATAGTGGTCAGTATCACAATCTGCTGCCCTGAATGATCGGACATCAAGTATACTTGAGTGCCGTCTCCTATCTATCAAAATATGGAATATCTGTACATTCGTAACAATGATATCAGACCAGTGACCTTTTAGTATTATATATGATATCCTATCACTAACGAACTCTACCCTCTTTTAACTGCTGATATGATTCTCTTATGTACGAGAAAACCTGTACCTAATTCATGATTTTCATTCCCCTTTCCATAGAAAAATGTACAGTCTCCAGCTGGTGTGATGCCACCTCCATCCCATCTGACCTCCTGTACTCCCGCTAAATCTAACTTATATTTTAAGATTTTTTCTGCCACTGCCCTGAGCAAAACTGCCCTATACAAATTTCGTACATTCCAACGGCCACATCTCATATCCATTTTCATTAGCGTATGTCGTTTATCCAAGGAATCTGTGTTCATTTTTGTAACATAATGATTTTTACGGTGAGGAGTTGTTAGCCCCATGCCCAACCCCCACGCTGGAGGGGCACCGCTTGACGGCTGACCATGACTGCTTATTCAATACATTCACGGCTTCCCTCCAAAACTGGAAGGTGTCTCCTCCATCCGCAACCTGAGGACGTGCCACGCCATGGTGACAGGGACCAATCACACCTTTCATCACACCCTGAGGTTTCATTACTCTGCTCATGTGATCATGAAATGGAACCTGTCCTAAGCCAACTGGATCAAATCCACACTCTCATACCCCATTTAACTTATTCCATTGTCACTGAAAAATTCATAACATAGTCAGTGAAGGATTATTAGTCCTCCTGTCTGATCCCCACACTGGAAGACCACTCCTAGACAACTGTTAATTCAGTGTATTTGTGAAACGTAGGTACCCTTCAGAGGATCCTTCAGGGTGCGTATAGGTTCTCATGATCACAGGACAGGGCGAGCAGGGGAGAACAAAGAAATCAGCAAGGAGGAAATACCCAAACAGATATAACCAAATCAAATATTAACAAAGAATAAATATAATATATTAATAAAGAAAGAATACAAACATGATGTAAATACCTGTATCAGAATGATTGCAGAGTTCGCTGTTCTACGATTGAATACCACATAGAGAAATCAATTTGGACGGTCGAGGATGACCTCAACCGGTGGACCGAAATGAGAAGCGACCCCTTCAACAGTTGGGGAGCCAAGCACCCTTAGCTCCACTTGTTAGGCCGCTAAGTCGGCTCAGGAGGGGAAGGAGAGAGGGGGACAGTAGAGACAGTAGAGGGGAGAAGTGCGCACACAGTC